TAAAACACATCTCTCAAACACAAACCAAACATATCCTATGTTTTTCCACATTTACCGACTGTCATACAGTAGGATGTGGACCCTCAAAAACATTTTCAACTTTAAAATCATCCCTATATTTGTCGACTATTATACGGTAGGGAGTGAGCACCCAAAACATAACTCAACTCAACCCAAAACAACTCAACTCAACTCCACACAACACAACCCCACCAAACTCAACACAACTCAACCAAATTCAACACAACTCAACTCAACATAATTTAACATAACTCAATACAATTCAACATAACACAATAAAATTCAGCACAAACCAAGTATATACCTTCAATACAATTAGGCATAATTCAATACAAACTCTTAAACCTTCACTTCATCATTTCATCACAAAACTCACGTCATCCATACCATTAGTAATTTCTTCCCCCGAGTTTGATTTCATATTATAACATAATTTAAAATATTATCATTAAGAGTTCAATCGCAACTTTTACATAAATCTTCAAACTCTTTAAAACTTTCGATCAAACTTGTACATGTCTAATCCAACACCTTAATTTCATCATACTACTTTCAATTTAAGCAAAACCATCATCTATCTTCATGAACCCAACTAGGATTTTTACGAGAAATTAAAGCTCTTCACAAAACACATTTTATTCCAACCCTACTATTGCTTATACACCCAAACTCATGACCCCAAATCATAACCCAACAAGTAAACCCCAACTCTTCAATCCCTAAACCACCCAATCTCATGATTTATTCATAATATGCTAAAAAAAAAAATTTGCATTTATATAAGGAAAAGACCACAAATCTATCCATAAATGAGAATATTGAAGGAGAACTAGAAATCCCTGCCTCTTAAAGCAAGGAGATGACAACCTAAAAATCACAGGCAACGAAACTACAAACTATTTGGATCAAAAGGAAACTCTTGACGAGATCTACAATCTTTCTCAAAGTACTAAGGTGAAAAGATCACTCTAGGTGAGTAGATCTAAAGATCTTAGATGAAAAAGTTTGAGTTTAGAGAGAGAGAAGAGAACTCACAATGTAAGGTGAGAAAAGAAGAGAAAAAATGAAATAAACAAGTGTTTAGAGTCTATTTATAGTAGCAAGGTAATAATAGAACAATAGTCCCAAAGCCAAATGAAAAGAACAAGTCAGAAATCTCTAAAAAGTAGGCCCTAAATCGACCCAAAAATCTAAAAATTACACACAGGGGTCAACCCTTAGGACAGAGGTGTCGACCCTTTCGAAGAAATGTTGAGACACTAATGTGTGCAGCAAACAAGGGTTGACCCTTGCAACCAGAGGTGTCGACCCTTTATTTTAGAAGGCAATCCATAACAAGACAACAAAGGAAGGGTCGACCCTAGGGACTCAGGTGTCGACCCCAAAAACTAGCAGAGGCGCTAAGAGTAAGGCAATAAGGTGGTGTTGATCCCCAGGACGGCAAGTGCTGACCCTAGAACAAATTTTTGAAGTTTTCAAAGAACTTTTCAACGTGAACAAGCGTGAACGAACAATCCAAACAAGTTTAAATTGAATTGTACTCCTCCAAAACTAAGATACAACAACTCCAAAGACTCCCAAAATGAAAATGAGGGAATTAAATGCACTCTTCAATAGATTAAAAGATACAAGTGTTACAGAGATCCCCACTAATCAATTACAACAGACCATTTCTTCCAAGCAAAGGGGTAGAGCAACAAAATAGATTTTCAGGCTCAGTCATACAAAACAAACACAAAGAAACAGAATTATGACTATTATTTTGGTTGTAATGCAAAAGATCTTTGGTTATAATTGTGTATTTTTTGTTATAATTTTTGTTGTAATAACTGAAATATGATTTAATTATATTTAATTATGACACTTGTGATAAAAAAATACCACAAATGCTATAATATGCAAAGGAAAATGATATACAAGTCAACTTTCTCAACCCATTTTGTAGACCAAATGATATGTAATGATATTATTGGTTGATGATTAAGGAAGATATGAGAAAGAGAGTGTAACCTTAGATATCCTAATTAATTATAACATTATTGGGCTTGAAAAATGAGTCTAATTTTCAGACTTGAATAACAATGGCCGCATAGGTAAATGTTAGAAATTGGGCGCCCATGTGGCATGACCCTTAGAACCTTTTGAACCTCATCCAAATGGGTTTTGAATTTAAATTCAAACCTATTTGGATGAGCCACTCAGGATATATATCTATCATATCATGATATGGATAAATGATATAGATATCAGATATTATCTCACTCTCAGCCGATGGATAAATGAGATAAATATAATATATATCTGATATATGGTTATGGGTAACCAAGAAAGAAACAACGTAGTTTTTGTTTTCAACCCATAAACTGACTCTCTCCCAAGAAACAACGATCAAGTCATTTTGCACTGTGGTTTGTGTGGGTGATATTCACCAATGTAATATCACCCCACTGCTGGGATTGATTGATTGAGTATGGAAGCACGTGATTTATCCACGAGGTTTTAGATCAAACGAGGTATGATCTAAACACTTTATTCCGCTGCATGTTTTGTGTTTTGATTTACAGTAAATGTACACACCCCATTTGTGTGTATAGCAACATTACCCCTTCTCAAAACATATTAAATTTAAATTTACAAAAAAATTAATCACCGATACTAGATATCATGAAGAGTATTCCATAAATATAATTATGAAAGATTTTTAACCCTTATATTACATATGTAACAAGTTACAATGTATAATATAAGGATAGAAATTCTTTGGTCATGAAGTATTTTTTATAAATCCTAATTTCAAAATCAAAATATGTAGACAATAGCTCTATTCTCGACAAACTCTCTCTGCTGTTCAGTCACATGTGATAATTAACAAGGAAGGAAGTATTTCACAAATCGAGTATGTGATGGGTCACGGGTACTTTCTCGTTTGGTCCAAAGTGAGTGAATAATCCGAATAGAGCTCTTGTCGTAGTTGTTTTTACCGGAAAACTCCAAAACAAAATATGCTGAGATTTGTTTGGCTTCGCTTTTGATTTTATTTTATTTTTTAATCATTTGCTATTGAGTCAGTGCGTTTTATCTTCTTCACGGGTTCATCTTATTTCCTCACACGTGAACTCCCCCATTTCTAGTTCCTCTAACCTGCTTTCCTCTATTTGTTTGGAGTTGTTCAAATTATCATCCTACTTTGAACCCTTGAAAGATTTCTAAGATCAAATCCTAAGATCATATCAACGATCTTGATAGCTTAATATATATCTTAAATGTTCATAAACATTTTTAGATGATGATATACCAAATAAGCTTAAATTACATCAAAAGGAAGTGGAATTATTGGAAAAAATATAATACATCGGGCTAGCATTGTACTCCAACAGCTTTGCTATCTATTAACTTAGAAAAATTATAACAATGTATTTGGGAAATTCATCAATACACCCTTCCTTTTGGGTAGGTATCATATGCTCTAATTATAATATGGGTATAAATGCACATTTGAAATTTGTTTAAAATACATATTGTCTCCCGTGATTTGAAAAATTACAAATACTTTATTGTTAGAATTTTTTATTTAACAAAATTAATTAAAAAAATAAAATTCATAATCGCTCTACTATAAAATAATAAAATTATCTAACTATTTAATTGAAACATTTTTTTAATATTATTAAAAACTATTAATTAACTTTATAATTTATTAATAAAAAGATAATTTGTTATGAAATTACAAACATCAGGAAGTGGAATATAATTTTCAAGACCACTAGAAGCGATTTGTATTTTAATCAAACATCAGGAGATGTATTTGTAATTTACCCTTATGATATTTATGATTTTTTGTCACGAACTATTGTGATTTTAGTTATAACTTGATTATAACTTATTATGATATTAGTTATGACTATTGTGATATTTGTTATGCCCATTATTTTAGTTATTATTCAAAATGCATTTGGTTATATGCTTTATGTATATTGTTTGGATATGGATTTTTTTATTCTTTTTATTTTTATTTATGCCTGAAATAGGATTTAACTATAACACTTGTGACAATTAATATCACAAATGTCATAACTTGTATATTGGTTTTGTTTGCTACAACTTTTAAAATAGATGATAGTTTATAGCCTAACAGATTATAAATTATAGATTTAATCAGAAGTTATTTTTTGTTTGGTATAACTGTTAGATTATAAATTTAATTTATTGAGTAGTATTTGTTAAAAAATCTATGATGTAGCTTTTTGTTGCATAAATGCCTTTTCTACCACTAACTTTTTTAATTTTTTTTTTTTTTTCAATTATTTTTTGTATTTTTTTTTTTTTTTTTTTTTGGGGGGGTTCAGATCTTCACCCAGCCAACGAGCCCGCCGGACTGATCTTCATGATCTTGACCCATCGCCATTGTCCTAAACGATCTTGACTCATCGCCATCGCTATCGCCGTCGCCAAACAAGGTTGTGATGATGGACTGATTGTTGAATCCACATACTAATATTTGCTATCGCCATCGCCATAAACGATCTAAAATAGTTTTTCTTAAACTAGAATTCACAGTCTCTGTTAAAAAATCAGCACCAAACACCCCCATTGTACACACCTCATTTGTGTATTGCATGACCCTTTCTCAAAATATATTAAATTAAAATTTACAAAAAATTAAAATAAGTAGACAAGATTAAATTTAAATCTACATTCCACACTTTATTTTCTAAAGTAAATTTTGGTTAAAGTCTCCACTGGCAAAATCACTTTAGTTTAAAGTTAAAAAATTACTAAAAAAATTAAAAAAACTAACAACCTATTCAAAAAAGTCAAATATTTCACTTTCTCTTTACGTTTTATATATCATTTTATAAAAGATTAGTTTTTTTTTTACATCATATTTTAATAAAAAAAAATTAAAAAATTACTAAAAAATCTATTTCTAAACGAAGGCCTAAATAAATAGAATTATTGATACTCCAAAGTTTGAACTCAAGAAGACCATCACCAACACATCATCATCTTCCCACAATATCATCTCCTCTTTTCCTCAACTTTTGTCCCTCTCCATCCATCCCTACCCCAAGCTCCTCCATGGAAGAACCCTCCTCATCACCACCTCAAAATCTCAAAACCTATCAAATAACAGCTTCTTCGATTTCATATACCAAATCCATCTCCACCACCATTTCATCGACATTCCTCTTCAAACCCTGCACAACACCACCCATCTACATCCTCCGCGACGTCTCACTAATCGCCAATCCGTCTCAAATCTTGGCCATTGTTGGCCCTAGTGGTGCCGGAAAATCCACATTACTTGACATTTTAGCAGCTAGAACTTCACCTACAAATGGCACTCTTCTTCTCAATTCTTCTCCCCTCATCCCTTCCTTATTCCGTAAGTTCTCAGCTTATGTCCCTCAACATGATGCATGCCTTCCACTTCTCACTGTCTCCGAAACCTTCGCTTTCGCTGCTTGCCTCTTAAACCCTAAAACCCCTGATGTTTCCTCCATTGTAGCATCTCTTCTCTCTGAGCTAAGATTAACCCACTTGGCACACACTAGGCTCGGTCATGGCCTCTCAGGGGGTGAGCGTCGACGCATTTCAATAGGTCTAAGCCTCTTGAATGACCCTGCTGTGTTACTTCTTGACGAGCCCACTTCAGGCCTTGACAGTTCTTCAGCCTTCAATGTAATGCAGACCCTCCGATCAACGGCTGAATCGCATCATCGCACAGTGGTTCTGTCTATACACCAGCCTAGCTTCAAGATCCTCTCCACCATTGACAGAATTCTCTTGCTGTCAAAAGGAACTGTTGTGCATCACGGTACACTTTCTTCACTTGAAGCTTTTTTACTGTCCAAGGGCTTCACAGTCCCTTCACAGCTTAATGCTTTGGAATATACCATGGAAATACTAAACCAGCTCAGTAAGAGTAAACCCATTGGACCACAATCACTTCCTTCACTACCCAACGATTCTACAACTTCTCTTGCTGATAGTGACAAAAGACAGATCAAATATAAGAGCTCAAGGGTTCATGAAATTGTCACTCTGTACAACAGGTTTTGGAAGATCATCTACAGAACAAAACAGCTGCTACTGACAAACACATTGCAAGCTCTTGGGGTGGGTCTGGTTTTAGGAACTATATACATCAATATCGGTTTCGACAAGAAAGGGATTGAGAAGAGACTAGGCCTCTTTGCCTTTACTCTCACCTTCCTTCTCTCCTCCACAACTGAAACTCTGCCCATTTTCATCAGTGAAAGGCCAGTTCTACTGAGAGAAACCTCAAGTGGGGTTTATAGGATATCATCATATCTTATTGCCAACACACTTGTTTTCATGCCATACTTGCTGGCAATTGCTGTTGTGTACTCAGTTTCGGTCTATTTCTTGGTGGGTCTTTGTTGTACATGGCAAGCTTTTGCATACTTTGTTATGGTTATATGGGTCATAGTCTTAATGGCCAATTCATTTGTTCTGTTCTTGAGCTCTCTGGCTCCAAATTTCATCGCTGGAACTTCACTGCTGACAATCCTTCTCGGCTGCTTCTTTCTATTCTCCGGCTACTTCATATCAACAGATAGTTTGCCTAAGTACTGGTTGTTCATGCACTACATGTCTATGTATAAGTATGCCCTCGATGCCCTTCTCATCAATGAGTACTCTTGCCTTGTATCGAAGTGTTTGATATGGTACGAAGAGAACAAGACATGCATGGTCACTGGAAGTGATGTGTTGCAAAGGAGAGGGCTCAATGAAAGGCAGAGGTGGACCAACTTCTATATCATGATTGGATTCTTTGTGTTCTATCGTGTGCTTTGGTTAATGGTTTTGATCAGAAGGGTTTCAAGGTCCAAGAAGTGAACCCATTCTCATAATCATCAATTCGCACATATTGTAAGTTTGTAGCAAGGAAATATTTCACAAATCCAGTATGTGATGGGTCACAGGTACTTCTGGTTTGGTCCAAAGTGAGTGAATAATCCGAATAGAGCTCTTCTTGTTGTCGTTTTTACTGAAAAACTCCAAAACAAAATATGCTGAGATTTGTTTGGTTTCGCTTTTGCTTTTTTATTTGTTTATTTATTTTTTATCGTTTGCTATCTGAATCAGTACTTTTTATCTTCTTCACGGGTTCATCTTATTTCCTCACACGTGAACTCCCCCATTCCTACTTCCTCTAAACTGCTTTCCTTTTTTGTTTGATTGTTCAAATTATCATCCTATTTGCAATCCTTCAAATACTTCTAAGATCAAATCCTAACATCCTATCAACGATCCTCATAGCTTAATATATATATATATATGTTAAATGTTCATAAACATTTTTAGAAGATGGTATACTAAATAAGCTTTAAATTACATCAAAACGGAAATGAAGTTATAGTAATAATTATGATACGCTCATACCGTAACACTTTCCACTCTACGGTCGTAGTATGTAAAAGAAAGGGCAGGCCTTAGGAGCGTGTGCACACATCATGTGCGCGTGCATAGAAGTTACAATTTATGAATAAAAAGTTGCATTTGGTAGACTTTTATAATTATGATTTGAGAGTATAAATTGCATTTTGAGTTTGTGAAATTTGAAATTATGATTTGAGTGTAGAAAATTTGTTTGGTGAGAGTTTTGAAAATAGTTTTGAAAAGAGTTTTGAATTGAGTAGGAAATATTTGATGTGACATTTAATATTTGATACAAAAACTTACAACTCATAACCAAACATACAACTCAAAATTATTTTAAAATACATAAAAAATTTTAAAAAATTCAAAAAATATTTTTTTTGAATATATAAAACTTAACATATCAATTGCAAAAAAAAAAAAAAAATACTATTCCGGTCAACTGGCCGAACGACCAGCCGGACAACCGGTTAGGCCAAATTTTGAAAAAAAAAATTGAAAAACACGTCTGTCAAAATAGAAAATCACGCCTCAGACAAGATGTTTTCTGCAGAGTTTTGGAAACATCATTTGAAAACTCTAACCAAATACCATACTTGAATTAAGGTGTAAAATCGTGATTTGAAATCACAACCAAACAGAGAAATAAAAAACTTTCATATTTGTAGAGTTTTAAACAGTTAAATCAATTTCATTTTTTTCGTTTTCAAATTCATCAATTATTAGGAATAATTTGAAATCAACAGTTACAGAAGGAGTCAAGGGCATCTCTGAGGTCGGCAATCATAGAAGGGTTCTTTAAGAATAAAAAAAAATTATGACAAAACTATTCATAATAAGTGCCTCTTACACGTTATATAATAGTATAGATAGATAAACAACAACTTTGTTTGAATAAAATTGTCATAAATTATTTTTAAATGGGTTTTTGTTTTTCTTTATTGAATTTTTTTTTCTTCATATTTTAGTTAATTTTTTTTTATTTTATATTTACGTCAAGATTAAATACATCTAAAAAAGTAAGAAAAAAATTAAACATGAAGAAAAAATCACTAAAAAGAAACGAAAGCCCAAACCAAAATCCACCCAGGTTTTTGTTCAAATTTTTGTTTATTTTAGTAATTTTTTAAAGTTTTTTTAGTCAATTTATTCGAGTTTTTTAAATGCATCTTAGTTAGGTGCATCCAAAAAGTACAAAAAAAATTAATGAAAATATGAACCAAAAAATGTACTAAAAATAAACAAAAATTAATGTAAAAATAATTTTTGAAAAACCAAACCAAGTAGACATAGTGGGTGTTTGGGAAGTGGGTTTTTATGTAAGTTTTTTTAGTTGTAGGATATTATTGGAGAAATTTTTTTTGGTATTTGCGAAAGATAGTTGGGTTTTTTTGTGGTTTGATGTTGAGAGGGTAATTTACATGTAAATTGGGTCGAGCTGGGTAATGGACCATTCTGTGGGCCACAGTAAGAAGGGCTGAGTAAAAGGGGCCTTGTAATTAGTCCGATCCAGATGAGCCTTGCAGATAGCCCGGTCCGAAAGAGCTTGGTGGTTAGCTTGGTCACCACGGTTGGTGCGGTGACAGTTAGCTCGGTCAAACCATTTTGAGCCGAGGTATTTTTGGCTTCTACTCAAGACTTTGCTGTTGAGTAGCTCGGTCCAAGTATGCTATGGTTAGCACGGTCTACAGGCAATCGAGGTACAACTGCACGAGAACCTAGCTAGCTTGGCGTTGTGCATTGGAGCACCAAGCTTGGTTACCTCGGTATTAAATGAACAGTTCAGTTGGAGTATGTCAAACCGAGGCACACGCAGTGAAAGGAAGAACCAAGCTAGTTAGAGCTCGGTCTAGTCTACGGCTTTAGCATGGTCATGTTAGCTCGGTCGTATTTACGCCCAACCGAGGTAAAACCATCTCACTTAGTTTAAGCAGTGAGGGGGGTGCTGAAGGATAAGCATTATCTTTCAAGAGTGTGATTCCTAGGAGGACTCTGCATGGAGGAATAAGAGTCGTACTAGGATTGTGCCACGCGGAACCTATAAAAGCTCATAACATCATCTATGAAGACGTAACACAACTTTGATTCTCAAATACACAGAGCTTTTGTCTATTTGTCTATTTTGCTGACTTAGGCATCGGAGAGGTATCCGGCACACACCTGCCGGCTAGCTCACGTTTGTGTTTTCAGGGAGTAAAGCGACGACGTTTGGAGGAGCGCGGACTTGATCAACAGGATTATACAAGAATATTATTTCCTGCTCGTACCATTGGCGCCATCTGTGGGAATCACAGAAAGAACAAAACCTCTTAATCAAAGTTTTTTCTCGCTATATTAGACGCAATGGCGCACAATGAAGATTTGTCGCAGTCCGCCATTGACGGACAAACCCTAGAGGGAGGTGGAAGGCGCAAAGGTTTGCCTTCCATCCCCCCATGGCAGATTTAGAGCCCCCGCGACAGAACCCCCGGAGGGATGCAAGAGAGAGGCGGGGTAACAGCCCCCTGTCGTTCATCAAGTCCTGATAGGTAGAGGCGGAGGATTGACCTTCAAGTTTTGGAGGATCGAGTAAAGGAGCAGGACGAGTTAATCAGGAAGATGGAGGCGGACATGGAATTAATGAAGCGCCGGATAAAAGGGGAGGAGGTGGCGACAAGAGAGGGGCGCAAAAGCAATACGCCTCCTCGCCACTCAGGAGATCGTGGTAGGCATACCACGCCATCGCAAACAGAAAGTAGGAGGCTCAAAACAGGCGACACGCAATCAAGGACTTCCAGAACTCGTTACTGCAAGTCTGAGAGAACAAGATCATTGAGGTCTTACAGTGAGGAAAGCACCTATCGGCCCTCACATACGCACCGGACATCATCCAGGCAAACGGAGTTGCCTAGATCGTCCGACTTATGGACTGTGCTTGAAGAAAGGGCACGACGGAAGGAGAATGCTAGGGTACGCAACCCGCGTAGAGTTTCAGCCCTTCAGCGGTTGGCTCTTCGGATGCATGGAAGCGTCGAGGTAGGAATGCCAATACCGCACCTTGCCTACGAACCAACAGATAAAGCATTAGCAAGGCTACATAGCTCGCCGTTCGTCCCGGCGATTGAGAACGCACCCTTACCTTCAGGCTTCATCCAGCCTAAATTTACGACTTACGAGGGGAAGATAAACCCTTACATGCACCTAAGCCACTTTCGCCAGGTCATGGCAGTATACCGGCGGAACGAGGCTTTGATATGCATCCTATTCCCATCCAGCCTTGGCGACCTAGGTTTAACCTGGTTCGAAAGGCTAACAGAAGGCAGCATAGCCTCCTAGGCATAATTAGCGGAGGCATTCGTGACGAGGTTCAGAACGAACTCCAAGACGCTAGTAGAGATCGATCAATTACTCTCCATTGACATGGGCAACAAGGAGACGTTTAGATTCTACAACAGTTGTTATTGGGAGACCTTCAGCCAGATAAAAGATTGCTCCACAAATCTCGCCATTGCGCAATACAAAAGAGGTCTTCCAGTCGAGAACAGGCCGATGGACTCAATTACCATGACACCCCCCTCACAATGGAAGCCGTAATGGAGAGGCTACACCAGCACATTCGGGTGGAGGAGGACGGCGCCCGTGCTAGAACAAAGTCTGGTACAACCGCAGTACCAGATAAGAAGACTACAGCAAAAGTCAACGCGGTAGAACGTCTAAGCAAAAACGGGCGAGGCAGGCGGGACAACGGGGAGGACCACGATCAAAGGTGGTTGAGAGTTCGCACTGCCATTACCACGGTGTTCAAAAAACCGATCTATCGAATTCTCAGCGAGATACGCGACGAACCTTTCGTCCGATGGCCAGCTAAACTAGGGGAAGCGCAAAAGGACTATGACGAAAGATAGTGGTGCACATTCCATAAGGAAAAAGGGCACCGCACTGAAAATTGCACGCCATTAAGACAGCATCTAGAAGAGTTAGTGGCAGCTGGGCATCTGGACCAGTACATTGAGGGGGGGACGCAGCTAGCCCCCCAAAACCACGATCACCTAGACAGAACACCGATCGACGCCCCACTTCAAGGCGTGATAAATGTAATACATGGGGTATTTGAACCTGAGTGAGTATGTGAACTTAGGGAAATAATCAAGAAGGCTGAACACTTAAGGGAGGTATTAAGTGCGCAACCTACCATTAAAAAGGAAAAAATAGAGGCCGCGAACGTCATGTCTTTTTTAGACAGAGACTTTGCAAGGATATATCGCCCTCACAATGATGCACTGGTCGTCACTCTCTGCATCAAGGATTACGACGTCAAGCGAATTTTGATTAACCAAGGGAGCTCATGTGAGATAATATATTACGAAACTTTCAAACAGTTGAAACTGGAGGACAAAGACTTGGTACCTGCCGTATCTCCCTTGATCGGATTCAACTCAATGCCAGAGTGGCTAGTTGGCAAGATAATCCTCCCAGTCAGAGCAGGAAGCATGACGAAACAAGTGGAGTTCTGGGTATTGAAAGTCCCTTCCACTTACAACCTAATCTTAGGAAGGACATGGCTGCATGCCATGCGATCGGTAGCGTCAACCTATCATCAAGTAATGCGGTTACCCAACGAAGCCGGAGTAATTGAAGAGGTCTTTGGAGACCAAATTATGTCCAAACAGTGCTTCGTCACAGTAAATGGCAGCTGAGCTGCCAAAGGGTTTGTTCAGATGGTTTTGATTGACCAAGGGAGCTCA